AGTGACCAAAAGTCAGCTAAAGAACAGGGTGAGGAGTACCAGCTCCCACGGAAGAGGGTGAGATGTTGGTTCGGAGGGTCCTACAAATTAAGGATACGAGTGGCAGAAGTGGCTTCGTCATAACACATTATACAACTATTGCAATGTAAAAGGAAAGGTATGTAGTCATCTCATTGGAGAGAGCAGAAAGAATGAGACGTCCACATAAATTGTGGACAAATTGAGCCTCATGACCTAGAGGCATTCACAACCATATTCCCTGACGTGACTAAAGAAGGAAAATAGGGTTAGCATTGATAAGAGGTGTCTCATGGAGTTTTCGTGAAAAAATGCATTTGAATTAATATATCAAAAAAATACAAAAACTATGCATGCATACAACTATGGTGTACAAAAAAGACATGTCATATACTAAGTATAGTAGAAAGTTATCTATCGTCATTTACATGCATCAAAATAAAAGAACCATTAAGGGCACGCTTGACACAAAAATGAGTGGTCCTATTACATTCGCGGACGTATAACAAAACAAAACTTACATAAATTGTAAGAGAAAAAGCTAAGTCTGGTGATTTGTGTGGTCTAAGGCACCAACTTTCATCACGCATAGTAGATTGCAAAAAGTTCATGATGTTGGTGTTATCTCCCTCAATGATGATGCCCTTATATTCGAGCATCCTTGGCTAGCAAATGTGTTTGAAAAAGGAAACCGTTTTGAGTTCCGCTTGGTCGCTATCCCAATGTTGAAGGAGTTGTCTAGCCGCAACAATCCCAATGCCATTGTTGTTGAGGATGACAATGCCAATACCAGTGGATCCAGTAGAAAGTAGAGCGCCATCGAAGTTAGTTTTTAACCATATGAGAGGGGGAGAATGACAAAAAGTAGGTGAAACCAGCCCAAAAGGTTGGCTAACACCTTGTTGCTCCCTGAATGAAAATTTATCAGAAGTTGTGAGTGTCTTGAGAACTAACATCAGCGAATATGGTTACAAGTGCTCGCACCAGCAGAAAAATGTCGAGAGGATCCATTTTGGTGATGAAAGAGGATAGCGAGACAGAAGAAACAGCTTCAGACACATCGCAACCAATACAGAGAGAGTTTCAGAACATTTTATTCAATAGAATAACATCATGACCACCATCATTTACGGAAATACAAGCTACCCACTTCAAATCGGGTTGAACCAATATTGAGTTGCACTAAGAACATTCAGCAGTATATATGTGAGATGTAGACCCAAATCAATTCAATAGTGAGCTCCAAGAAGATTAAGCCGATATAGATCTCTACTCGCAAATGAAAAAAGCTCCGCAAGTGTTTTGGGAGACAGTGCAGTCGTCGGTGGGATCCAAGAGCTTCTAGGGCTACAGTCGAAGAGCCTTCAACTCTGGCGGGTTACAACTTCTCCATCACCAATAAAAGTTTTGATGAAATAGGTTAAATCTCCCCAACCCTCGGACATTGACATAGGCGCATGAACGAAGTCACGAGAGCGGTGTATAGGGAGAGATTGGCTATCTCCCATGATTCCTTTGTCTGGACCGCATCGCTCCAGAACTGGGACGGTTGATGAGCTCTTCCACAAGGGATTAGCCCCTCATTTCCATAAGGCGATCTAATCCTAATTATCTATGGCATATATATGTGATTCCTGCATTTAAATTTTCATTTTTGGTCGTGTTCATGTTCAGGACAGTCGTCGATATCCTGGTTTCTCCCTTTTAGAGTAGTATCCAAAGGCGAGCGGTGCCAGGTAGTAGCTCGTCCGAGAATGTGATCTTCTTCCAAGGATCGAGTGGTTCTCAGGCTATAGGTCGTTCCCAATGGAGTTATTACCTTGACTTCCTATTCTTCACAACCTTACTTTCGCTGTCGCCGACGTCGTCGTCGTCGTCATCGCTGCCGCTACAACCACCCCACCCCAGGGAAACCTTGTTGCCTCCTTGCAACCCAACCCTTCTCCTTTCCAACCACGCCACATGCTCTGTCCAGTCGCTGCCATCCCCGCCTCCTCCCAGCTCTCGTCTGCCAATCGCCCTTCTCAGCCACCACCTCCTTGCTACACCTGTCGCAACCCGTTTCCCCTACAGGTTTGTCATTCGCCCACCTGCAATCCTCCGTCCAGTTACCATCCACAACCAGACCAACCATCCTATGCCATCACCCCACCGCGACCCTCTTTCCAATTACAACCATCCTACAACCACAATCCCCTCCCGCACCTCCATCCCGCACAACAACTAACACCACCCCTCTTTGGATACTACCCTAGTAGCATATGTGTTGTTATTTCCCATTTTTACTTGATTGTTTGTAATCTTCTATTTGATTGTTAGCAATAATTTTTTTTTTTTGTTCAGTTTGACTCTAGTATCACCCGTGATTGTGAAACATCCTGTGATGGCGGGATGTCAGACCTCCCGTGATATAATCTTCTTTTCAATTGCAGTGAAATTTCTTGTTTTTTATGTTTTTTTTTTCCATTTTCTTATTTATAATAAAAGTTATTTATTATTAGGAGACTATTTATGTGAGTATTTTGCTATTTTGCTGTTTGGAGACTATTAACTTTGTTTTGAAGAGTATTTTGCTGTTTGGAGACTATTAACTTTGTTTTGAGTATTTTGGAGATTGTAATTTTTGTTTTAAACCTTAATAAGTGTTGCATCATTTTTTTTTTTTTTTTGGGAGTGGTGGAAGGATATTTATCTTGCTCATGAATAGATGGTGAACCTCCTCTCTGTCAGTACCACGTCGCTTTGTTGTCTGCCTCATTATTTTCAACAAGGACAGCACACAAAGAGCTCAAATTTGTTGTCCAATAGCATATTTCGTCATTTATCTCCCTTCAAATGTCGTCGACCAAGTATTTCGTTCCTTTCTTATTCCACAACCATTTTCACCCAAAACCAACTTCAGAAACACCTTCTAGAAGCCCTGGAACGTTATCATCATTTCTCTAAAATAGCTCATTTTGTTCCTTGTCATAAGATGATGGATGCATCACATATTGCAAATTTATAATTCAAGGAGATAGTTTGTTTTAATGGTATACCCCTAAGTATTAAGTCAAATAGAGACGAGAAATTTCTCTGCCACGTTTGGACGACTTTAGAAGGCAAGCTAGATGCGACAGTTCAATTTAACGGCTTACCCTCGGACAAATGGGCAGACAGAGGTTACATACCGCAATTTGGGAAATCTTATTAGCTGCTTTGTCGGAATGAACATCATACAGTGGAATTTGGTTTTCCTCAAGTGCAGTTCGATCGTACACAAGTCACAACCCCTTTGTGATTTTGTATGGATGGAATCCTTTAACCTCTTTGGAGTTAGTCCCGATATTGCCAGCTATTGAGCCTAACATAGATGTCTAGGTTCGAGTCAAGAATATTTTGACCCTATATGAGCAAATCAGGAAGGAAATTACTAAGAAGAACATCAAATATCACAAACAGCTAATGGGCCAAAGAAAGCTATGGCTTCAAGGAAGGCAATATTGTTTAGATGAGACTAAAGAAGGAGAGATTTCATGCAGATTCATTCGGAAAAGTCAGGCCTAAAGTTGATGGCAATGCCTAAAAGGCTGACTTACTAGAAGACTACAATTTTTCTATTACTTTTAATGTCGCCAATTTTTCGAAGAGCTGGATGTTTCCAAAGACAAGGGCAAATCCTATCTTACTCGAGGAAAGTGATGCAAGACGCGGGCTTCTTCTATGGTTTTGTGGCATGCAGATCCCGCGAACACAGGAATTAACTGCTTTTGATATCTTTTTTTTCTTATTTATTAGTTTCAACATGTTTCCTTCGCAAGACGCGGGCTTCTTCTATGGAATTAACTGCTTTTGATATCTTTTTTTCTTATTTATTAGTTTCAACATGTTTCCTTCATTTGTTTCTTCCTTTCTTGATTCTTCCATATTTCTTTGTTTTCTAATTAGGTTATTTTATATTAAGGGACCTTTATATAGGTGGTGTTTTGGTTGTATAGATTTTTAGCTTGAGTTTATGTATTTTTGGATATTTTTCTCTTATTTTTGCTCTCTGGAGTGTAATCGCCTCTTCTTTTTTCAATGATGTGCTTATAGCTTGCCCAAGAATAAGTGGTGGATTCCCCTCACATCCACACATCACCATCTCGCCACTCGCTTGCTGTTTGCAGCCAAGATGTAATGTATTCAACTCTTTCTTCTCTTGGCAAGTTCCTCCAAATAACAACCAGACTCAAAAACAAAAGAACATAAACATGAAACTTATCAGCTCTTTCTTCTATTGGTAAAGTTTCTTTAAAAGGAAAACTGAACATAAAACAAAACAAAAACATGAAACAGTACGAAAGCAAGGAAATGTGGCATTCTACTTCCTCTATCCCCCCGCAAGTCCAGCTTTACTTGATCATAAACCAATTACTGATTAATGAAGCCCAAAAAAGGAGTCCACAAGCTTTACAAGGTAAGACTGCCATAGAATGCTTCATAACAACAAAACTGAGTCACATGCTTAGACTCGATGGCATAGAAAAGACCAGGTCAACTTCATCGATCAAGGATCTATAAGATCTTTTAAGAAGCATATATAAGCTACCTGTTTAAAAATGAATCTCAAACCCGCAAGAATGGCAGACAGAGAAGAAGCAGTGGAACAAAGAAACTGGAGTCCAGAAGTCAAGAGACGCTCACTGGACAAATACTCCAATATAATTTTACCAGCTTTCCTCACAACCTGCATGTGTTATAATTATGTCATGATGCCAGGTTAACAAATAAAATGAGATTACAAATTTCATGCAATTTCTTTGCATTTTAATTTTTTAGTTAAAACAATATTCGTCAAAAAAAAAAGAAATTTTGAAATTATAGAACAATCAGAATCGCACATCATCATGGTTTGCAAGCGTAAGTATCAAGCTCTCAGCCATTTTTGGTTCCCATGTCCATTGTTTTTGAAGTTCAAGTTTTTCCAGTTGCAAGATGAATTCAGCAGAAAGCCTAAAGATGATTCCAAAAAACTATTTCAAATGATGAAAGAAAAAAGATCTTATGTTACTCAACAAATAAGACAACCTGAAGAATCATACTAGTTATCCGCAAATGCACGACATGGGATTACAAAAAGCCCGATTTCACAAATAACATAATTCAAAAAATGATAAATTATGATGGAGAACATTATTATCATGAAAACACTCAAAACCTCTTCAATGTCCTTAACAATGGAATGCACATAGATGATGCCCTGATGGACCGATTTCACAAATAACATAACTCAAAAAATGATAAATTATGATGGAGAACATTATCATCATGAAAACACTCAAAACCTCTTCAATGTCCGTAACAATGGAATGCACATAGATGATGCCCTGATGGAGTTTCTCGACTCCTTCCCTTCCCCGCCGTCATCAAAACCAGTTGGAATCTGCCACCCAAATGATGAAGAGATCTCACTTGCATATATGGACAACCAGTCCCGAGTTGAGAGTGACATATCCAAACTAAAGTTCAATTCCAGCACAGATAAACGTGACAAAGCCCAGAAAAGAGCCTTTGAAAATGTTATAGGGAGAGTTGCAGGGCCCACATCAATCAAAGAATCAATCCATAACATTGGAACGCATGACCAACAAGTGCATTCAGATGAAGCGAGCTTGCTCAACATGTTAAATTCAGTCCAGCAAGTGTTATCCTTTTCTTCCGTATCTTCAGATAAAATGAGCTCATCTTCCTCATCAATGAAATAACCATGGGTACTGAATTTACTTCTATGCAGAGCGCAACTCCTCTGCTGAAGAGATATCAGAGCAGAAGTGTCGGAAATTATAATTGTTGTAATAAGATCAAACGCCGGTTGCCGCAGAGAACTATGCAAAGAAAAATTCTTCAAAGAATTCACCAAAGTTGGCCCCCTGCAAACAAAAATAAGTCAATCTTATTTACAGAGAACACATTTATATATCAATAAATGAAGGTCTGTTTCGTTCATATAAAGCAAGAGCAGAAGACATTCCATGCATAGAGGAGTTTGCCCACACAATAACATAAGTATTCTAACTAGGATACCCAGTTCAATTAGCAGTCTACTATTAACCCACATGGTATGCCACAATGCAATGCAAGCCGAAATAGAAACAGTCAAGTTAAAATGATAAATCCTAGCGCATATAATTAAAAATAAAAAAACAGGAATCCGTGCATATGAATAGCTCTTAAAACACAACCTTTTTTATCCAAAGCTTGCCAAAGCCCACTATAGATTCGGCGCCACCAATACTCCTCCCGTACCTCCACCACAAATTTTGTCCAACCAGAAAGTTCAAAACAAAAAATTAATATATAATAGCAATGATAAACTAATTATCTATCCAATCCGCCTTCCCCTTGGTGGTCACTCGGGCATCAGCCCTACTGCTCTCAACTCCTACCACCAACCCTGCAGTCACACCTACCTACCTACTTACCCAGATATCTTGCCATCTTGCTATCCATCTCTATATAATAAGTACCCAATGCGGCGGGGAAATCCTGTAATTCTCAGGGATGTATCTTGAGGCATATGAACTTCTTCTAAGCGGGTACTTTTAAAGTCGCCACCGTGGTATTGCAAAGCACTTACTATTCATGCCTTGTAGGTGACTGGAAAGGCATATTACTCCCCAATGCAACCCCCTATGCAGTGGCGATGTGGGGAGGCTACCAGATTATGCATTGACTAGAACACCTAAATAGAATTTAAATAGAAAATAAATAGAATCTAAATGAAACCTCTAAAAATTTGAGCAAGCATGAAAAAAATAAAATAATGAAAAAAAATACAAAAATTTAAGAAACAAAAGGAACTTTAAGAGGACTTGGAACTTCACTCTCAGAAGGCGACTATAACTTCTTTCAATCAAACATCACAAAAATGCACAAAAAATTAGATTTTAAATAGAATGAAAATAAACTAAAAGACCCACTTATTCATAGACGAAAAAAGGTCATTTGGGCTCACCTGAATAGAATAAGACATAAAAGAGAATCCCGCAACCCAAGAAATTCTTTTAAAACATAAAACATGCCACCGGATCCAAGCCCAAGAAAAGTTGAAAAGCTGAAATGACATCTAGCCTGGAGTCTAAATTAGAATATTCTTTTAAAACATAAAACATGCCACCGGATCCAAAATAAATATGCGCTAGCTAAAAAAAGGTATGTTCTTAGAGCATCTAGAAGGAAACTTTGCACGCATCCAATGACTCAAATATACATGTAATGTTCCCTAAAATTAGTCTAAATTAACAACTTTAAAACACCTGCATGTGATCCGATAACTATGCTAAATGTTCAAACACTCAGCTTGAGACTGGTGTGCGGGGTTAGTATAAATTTATGCTAAATCAGAACAGGATCGTAAATCTCATCCTAGTTAGTCTGATACTCTCGATAGCCCTGACCAGTTAGATCCTCCTTACAAGGATTAAAGGTGATAGAAATAATGCCCTAACAACATTCAAATGACAATGTTGAATCGAAATTACAATTATAAGAACTTTCAAAATCTCCAATGATGACCATTTTGAATTTAAATCTCAAATAGGGGATCTATTTTTAAAATATCAGTACTTAATTACAAATATAATAATTTCAAGCAAACTCCCAGATGATGACCATATTGATTGTGAATCTCAACTAGATTGTCTATTTTAAAATTAAGCTCAAAAAAATATTTAAATAAACTCGACTGATTTAGGTTATAAGTCCAAGCCTACGTAAACGGGACAAAGCTGACAATATTCCAACTTATTTAAATCCTTAATAATACTAGAATTGATTGTGAATATCAACCAAAAAGGTTATAAAATTAAGTTTTCAAATCATAACAATCTAAAAAAATATTCAAATGGAAGTATAGCATCTAATAGCAAAAAGAAAACTCCATCCACCCTCCTACGGTGCGAGATGTTTAAATAAAATGTGTGCAGCAGGTTCGACCCCGCGGCCCGTATTCCTTCGCGAAATTATTACTAAATGCCCCACACCCCCTGACTTCGCGATATCCTTCCACCTAGCTTCGCGTCTTCTATCCTAACCCGCTCCAGAGCTCTCAAGTTTTCTCTTGTGCCCCGCTCGTCCTCATCCTGCATTTGCTCGTCTTCTTTCTCTTTGCTACCCGACAACTGTGAGGAGGGTTTCCAGATGTTTGTTACTTGTTTCAGTATCCTCTATCTCTTAAATTTTCTTGGTAGATTTGCTATGTTAGCCGTATTGGTTTTTAAAGAGTTTCTTGGTGGATTTACTTAATGGGTAAATAGTGTTTTTTGTGTAGCACAATTTTTTAAGATTTTTTGGGTTTTTGAAATTTTTACATTCATAATTGTGGCGGTTTTAGTTGTTGATGTTTCGGTTTTGATGTTTCAATTGGAATTTGTTGTTTGATTTGTTGATTTGAGTGAGGATTTGATATTTAACTGAAAATTTGAGAAGAAGAGGCCTAATAGGGGGTCGGCTTGGCTGCTGCTTCGATTTTTGCAACTGTGAATGGTTTTATTTTTGAGTTGGAATTTGGTGGTGGATTTGAGTGAGAATTTGATATTTAAGTGAATTAGGCGTTGGATTTGAGTTGGAATTTGGTGTTGGCTGCTAATTCAGAACACAACAGGTCTCCTCTACTTCTCGAAACTCTTCAAATGAACTATTATGGTTAGCTACAATCTCGTTGGGAGGTGTGTTGTCATATGTGAATGGTTTTGTTTTTGATTTGGAAGTTGGAGTTGGGTTTAAAGAATTTTGAGCATAAGATGTATGTTGTGGTGTTGTGGTGTTGTGGTGTTGTGGTGTTGTGATGTGACGTAGAGTGGCGGTGTGCTGTGAATTTTTTAATATCATATTTTTGGGTGTGTGGGGAGATTTGGAGGTGTGGAGGTGGCGTGTGTGGATGTGTTTAGTGTGTGTTGTGGTGTGTGTGTTGTATTGTGGTGGTGTGTCGTTGGTGGGTCGTGTAGTTGTGAGTGGTGTGTGTGGTGTGTGTGGTATGTGTGGTGTGGTGTTGTGGTTCAGCTGCTAGTGTGTGGTGTGATGGGGTGGCGTGTGAATGTGCTATTGGGTT